ATTTATGCTTCACTTTTACCTTTACAAATATAGAGTCCAAGCTGCTTTAAAAATGTCAGTTCGCTGCTGCCAGGTTCATTGAGAAGCTCTAAATCATTTCATGAATTATACAACTACATGAGTCAAGTTGAGAAACAAACTTAAGATAACAAATTAAATCAACTTTTGCACCATCTCTAGAAACACATTTACTTGCTTGAGAACTTGGAGCCATTTTGCAAAAGCGAGATAATAAAGTTTGCAGGAAAAAGGACAGAATTCAATATGAGTCTTCGTTGTGGTCGCAGTTTCTTTCATTACTATTAAAAGAAGCAACCAGGATTTAATTTAACGTGTATTTAAGGAATCCCAGTGATTTTCCTATAAACATTCACACAACTCAAAGTTGCTCAAGTTCACAGAAGTCATGCGTTTAGCTTCAAAAGTGATCTGAAAATGAAACGTAGACGTTGTAAGTTGACTTCAGCAAATCAGAAAGCGTGCATTTTTTATCATTCTTATTACTTCAACTTCTAGCAGGTCATGTTTTGTCCATTATTTCTAGCACACGTTCATTACGCATTTTTTAAAAAAGCAGTTATTTTATACTGCAGGTGTTTGTTTTTGTTGTTTTTAAGTCTGACTTCTGCTTCTACAACCGTGGACCTCCAGCGTAGTTCCTCTCACTTCACAAGTCAACCATAAATACATAAACAAATAAGCGAGTAAGTAAGAATTAAATACAATTTTCATAAAAATCAGCAATTATTTCGATGACTAATTGGCTATTTTTCAAGCAAAAAACGATTTTAAAAAAAAGCTAAATCATGTCTGGTTTCAGCCTCTAGATGATGGGATTTGCTGCTTTTTTTGCATTTTATCATTAGAAACGCTATATTTTAGTTTTTTTCTCAAACTGAACAATATTTGCAGATGTCATCATGGACTTTAGAAAAAAAAAGCAAAGAACAATCAATACAATAAAATAAATATAAGTTGCACTAAGGACCAATGCTTCCTTATTTTTATTTATTTATTTATTTATTTTAAACATTTAGGGATTTAGACAAACACAACATTAAAGTCACCCTCATGTAAGTCCACATTTTTGGATTAGAGTTAATGACAGATAGAGACACATCTTTATGTGCTTCGTCTTCTTCTAACAACAGAATTCAATTCAATTTTATTTGTATAGCGCATATTTACAACAACAAGTCATCTCATAGCGCTTCACAAAGGTAGAGACACCCAACAATCCAAAACATCTGGATTCCCTATAAGCTTCAGCAGTCTGCAGCAGTGGGAAGGAACCGAAAACCTCCGACAGAACCAGGCTCAGGGAGGGACGGCCATCTGCCTCCACCGGTTGGGTGAGAGTGGGATGAATTATACAATTTAGTGTACAGTTAAACAAGTTATTAGAATTTATTGTCCTTTTGTAACAGGAGGCATCATGGTGGGGGCAGCAGGATGCAGAAGGTGAGGCCAGCAGCTGTAATTCAGGAGCTCCAGATCCAGAGACATCCACAGAGAGAGCAGGCGCAGGAGAACCTCGGGGGGAGCCACAGGGTTAGTCATATGTAATGGTGATAGGCAACTATAGAAACATATACATACACATATATATATAAAGAGGAGAGGAGAGGAGAGAAGCCCAGTGCATCATGGGAATCCCCCGGCAGTCTAAACCTACAGCAACCTGAAACCCACCGACGGAGAACATTTACTCCAGCTGACAACAGAACAAAAGGAGGTTCGTGCTTATCCCAGATTAACCTGCTCTGCTTATCTTAACGACATCCACGATAACCGTGAGCACACTTGGGTGTTACGTAACCTTTGACCAGCTCTGGAAGAAGTCGACTCCACAAAGTCACAATGGGAAGAGCTGAGAATTATGTAAATGCAAATGAAAAAAGAGGGAAAAAAACAGGAATAGAAATAATGACAGAATCTAAAGAAAAGGAGAAATGTTTGCAGACTTTGTTCTGTTCCAGTTGAATTATTGACACATAATTGAGTGCCGACGTTCACACACTCAGACGTCGTTCTGTGGTTTCTTATCTCTGTTTCTAGCTCATTCAGTTATTTCCGTTCCATACAAACGTCCTTTTTCCCTCCATGATACGACCTACGCGCCATCACTGCTCCCATGCTTGGGCTTGTGCTGAGGACCAGAGTCCAGTTTGTGTTGAAACCAGTATCCAATCACTGGAGCCACACAGGGGCCATAAACAGCCCAGATAAGCCGGGATGCTCTGTTTGAACATCCACCACTCGAGTTTCAGTTTCCGAGAACACGCCTGTTCTTGCTTTTGCCTTCATGGATTTCTCCGCTCCAGGAGCTGGTCCGAGCATCAAGGCCTCGCTGTGCAGACGGACTAACTGACCAGAACCGTTCGTTTTTAGGTCAGACGCGCTCATCCGGTCCAGCCATGGTGCACGTGGATTTGCACGCCGTCACCCAGCCAGTGGGCATCATGCGGATAATGGCAGTGATCCTCACCGGCATGTGCTTCATCCTGGTGGCGACGGTGGGACACGTCTCGTCTCCGTACTGGGCGTGGTGCATGTTCACCTGGTGCTTCTGCTTCTTCTTCACGCTGGGCATTGTCGTCCTGGAGTTCACCACCGTCAGCACCAGAGTGCCGTTCGCCTGGGATGACTTCACCGCCGCCTTCGCCATGCTGGCGGGCCTGCTGTGCCTGTCGGCCTCCATCATCTACCCCACCTTCTTCGCCTGCAAGGTGTGCCACCGGGCCATCGGCGCCTCCGTGGTGTCCTGGGTGTGCTTCGGGGTGTACGTGGGCGAAGTGGTCATAATGCGCCTGCGTCCGAGCGGGCAGACCAGCGGCTTCCTGTCCACGCTGCCCGGCATCATGAAGATGCTGGAGATCTTCTTCGCCTGCCTCATCTTCATGTCCCTGGAGACGGGCCAGTACTCGAGCTCTCCGGGGCTGCAGTGGTGCATCGCCGTCTACTCGCTGTGCTTCATCTTCGCCCTCCTCATCATCCTGCTCACCCTCGGACAGCTGACCATTTACTTCCCGTTCTCCTTCGACATGTTGGCGATCGTCTACAACGTTCTGGCGGCAGTGATGTACACGACAGCGATGGTGATCTGGCCGCTGTACAGCTTCCGCAACAATAAGAGACCCGGCGACTGCGGCTCGCTGTGTCCGTGGGACAAACTGGTGGTGGTCACCTTCATGACCATCTTCAACACTATCGTGTACACCCTGGACACCGTCTACTCCATACGCCTGGTGTTCTGTGTCAACAGAGAATAATGTGACATAAACTGAGAGCAAAGCTGACTTTGGGAGCAGAAATGTTTCTACTGTATTCAAGTCCTGCCAACTGTTTATTTTATTTGTTGTAAACTGCACATTTTCCTCGACAAAATTGTCTTTTTCGGACACAATCAAAACACCGAATCCCACGTATGAATATTCTGCTAATGCCGACGCTGTCATAAATGAGCAGCAACAGTAATGAAGTGTGGAGCAGAGACACGCAGCCAGTTAATGATTAGACCTGCAGTTTCATGGTAGTAAAGATGAAAAACTAGCCGAGCAGAACTTTGGATCCTGAAAACAATGCAACGTAAGAAAGCGGAGCTCTTGTTATCATTTATGACACAATCAGGGAGAAATTAGGTGAATATGTGGGTTTTCACATAGTAAAAGTCAAGAAAGTAACTAAATACATTTACTCCAGTATCGTACTTGTACTTTCGTTGAATATTTCTGTTTTTATAATTCCACTCACGACATTCAGGCTGAAATATTGCGCTGCTTCTACTCCACTGCATTCATCTGACAAATTGTGCTTAAGCTGAAGATTCTTACACAAGCTGTTGAAGCACGGCTCACTGCTGAAGCTTTATGTTTGATTCATATTTCAGATGTGTGTGAGGTGTTCACGGCTCCAGCAAACAGAGTTTTGTTTCCTGAATTTGTCTGCAAATGTTTAAATTATCCAGCAGATTAGAGGAAAAAGCTCAAAAACTGGAGCCTCCTCTCCTATTTATTTGTTGTTCCTGTATATAAAACTGTATATAAAGTGGATTAAAGTTAAGCTTAAAGCTACAACGGCAACATGCTGCCGACACACTGATGCTTCATTATTCAGATTCTATTTATGTCATTTATAATAATATCAGTCAGAGGCACTGAGCCAGTATCTTTATTCTTTAAGTGCATTTTGCTGCTTGTACTTTGACTGAAGTGGGATTTTCATGCAGGACTTTAACTTGTATTTGAGTATTTTTACATTTCTATATTAACACTTGAGTAAAAGATCTGAGAGCTTATTCTGTACCATGCAGAGAGTAAAATGACAAGATAAATAGCGCTCTAAGGTTATATTTTAGAAAGTTTCTGCACCACTGAACATAACACTGTTTTACATTTCACTAGATATATTTATGTTTATGCTAAGCTAAGCTAACCAGCTGCTGACTGTAGCATCACAGTTGTCGCAACAACATCGGAATCTTCTAATCTCGCTAAAATAAGACACATTAAAGCCAGTGAATTTAATGCATCCACTTATACTGGCGTTTGTAAAGAAATCATTGTGACGACTGATGGATGCACAGCGAACGAGGACATGAACAGTTGCAGGAAAGCAGACGTGAGGAAGATGAAGTGAAGTAAAGCGTCACAAAGAATGTGTGGGAAAGGTGAAAAAGAAAACCCTCTAATCAACAGGACTTGGATTTGTCAAGATCTTTCTTTTCTCCCATTGAGCTGCCTTTCTTCCTCAGCTATGCGGCGTGCGGAGGTGGAAGGCAGGCGAGCATATGACCTCAATTAGCTCTTTTAGCCAATTGGAGGCTGAAGACGACGTCAGACGGATCTCGCAGCTATTGTGCTGCTTCGCACTCCAATCTGTGGGAGTGAACTCGGGTCAAATGGAGCCACCGAAGCGTGGAAACGTTGCTTTTGTTGTCGTGTCAGTTTGTCAGAAAGACGTTAAAGGAAGAAGAGCGTACGAGTCAGACGTCAGACGCAGAGGTTTGATTTGGATTAAAGAGTTCAGCAGTCGAGGAAAACTAAACCATGCAGCCGGTGGAAATAGAGCAGCAGCAGACTGCTTGAACTTCACCTGCTAAATATCAGCTTTTGTATTTCTGCACAGTCCTTTTAAATCTACTTCACTGTCACTATTACAATTCTGCTCACGATACAAAACAACTACTGGCTGATTTTCTGCAAACTTAACATGCAGTTTAGAAATTAGGTACAAAAAAAACCCTACCAATAGGTGCTGTGTGTTATCGGCTGTCTCAGGAATCACTCCACAGCTGCTGGACAATCGTTAACTTGCACAAGTGAAGAAATGAAAGTTTCGGTTCAGACATTAATATAATAATATAATAAACGTTATACGTATAGCACCTTTAAGAACATAATAAGTGCTTTTACATAATAAAGAAATACAAAAAGACGACATCACAGAGGGGAATTAAGATAAAAGTAGATTAAGAAGAGAAAAGAGAGAAGAACAGCGGACAGCACCGATAAAAGGGAAAATCTAACAGAGAACATCACTCAAAAGCGAGTCTATAAAAGTGGGTTTTAAGAAGTGACATTAAGGGTTTAAACTGAATAAATACGGGAATTAAACAAAAGCAGAACTTTTCCTCATCACAGTACACAGACAATTAAAGTCCACAACAAAAACTGTGATTTATAAAACTGGTTGTCTGTCTCTAAGTGTGGCCCTGTGATAGACTGGTTACCTGTCCAGGTGAACCTGCCTTCACCCTGAGTCAGCTGGGATAGACTCCAGCCCCCCTAGTGAGGATTAAGGTGTAGAGATAAAGGATGGATGTTTTCCTTAAAAATAAAATAGAATAAAAAAAGCCTCCACTTATTAGCGTCCACATGACAGTTATAGCTTCCATGTGTCAATGTTTAAATGATAAACAGCATATTAGTGTGTGTGTGTGTGTGTGTGTGTGTGTGTGTGGTGTTGCCTTTTTCAACTTGTCATTTAAGTATATTTAAGTGATCTCTAGTGAACACTTTTTTAACTCCAACTTGTAAAACGTTGCTGTTAAAACGTGCAGGTTACTCCCACTGAGACAAACGTGCAGCTTTCTGTAAAAAAAAAAAAAAAAAAAGTTTTCAACATTTAAGCAGCTGTTGGTCAAAAATGTTTGAGCAAAAAACTATAAAAGCTTTCCTCGGTTAATTTATGCTCACGTCGTCATCCTGATAAACTCACATGGCTGATTGTAGAAATCATAAAGTTGCTGGAAAGCAGAAAGTTGAACAAATTATGCTTTTTATTTTTTACGTGTTTAAATTAAACAAAGGTTTTGTTAACGAGGATATTCATGACAGGACGCATCTCAGGTTCCAATAAAACACAGTGTGGTGAATCCTCTTTTACCATAAATAGGCAGCCAGCTCTGGTTTATTGTGACACCAGATCGAGTTTCATACTGATGCCAAACCCGATAAGGTCTCTCCTCCTGATCCTTGGCCGTGTGGTGTGATCTAACAGTGCATGAGTCACCTGGACCGACTCTTCGTTATCTCCTCCTCTGATTAGTGGCCTTTGATTCAGCTGCAGCGAGTCGCGCAAGCTGCAGAAATGAATCACCGCAAATTAGCCGGAGCAACGTCGGGATTGTCGAGGCCACCGAACCGCTGCATTAGCCCCAGATTTATGCATTTCAGGAACTCAAACTGTGTCGTTTTAAGCTGCACCTGCAGGCAAATATCTTATTTTATCTGTGATTGTTGGGCTCTTGCACAGCTCTACTGTGTGTATCAGACTGTGTGTTGTGCATTTGACCCCAGACAGAAATCACATTTAGTGGTTTTCATTCTGCTTTACGCACATCAAACACGAGTTCAAGTGTTCACAGTTTTATGCTCAAGCTTCAACCTGGAGGCCCCTTGGTTTATTTTTTATCTTTTTAATTCTCTACTGATGCTCCTTAAATGTTCACCGCCGTAACAACGCAACTTTAATTTAGTCGGTAAAACCTGCAGGACGCTGAGCCTTCGTCTGTAAATCTGTCAGGGGGAAACGGAGGCATCCCATCGTGACAAGATCAACAACACGAGGCAACGTTTGAAGATTTACAAGAGAATTATTTATGTCGCACTTTTCAAAACAGGGTTACAAAGTGCTTTACAGATTCAAAGAGACGTGTACGGAAAACAGTAAATAACAATATAAAAATATATAAGAAGAATAAAACCCAGTAAAAGAAGACAGTTAAAAGGCAATAAAGGAATAAAACAGTCAGAAGATAAAATGTGCTGCCCTTAATACTGCCATCACATGTAGTAAAAGTCCATTCATAAAACAACTCCTGTACAAGCACATCTGTATAAGTGTGTTTTTAAAAGAGTTTTAAAGGAGGATGAAGTGTTTGCAGATCTGATCTCCTCAGGGAGGCTGGTCCAGAGGCTCTTACAGAAAAGGCCCGGTCACCTTTGGTCCTCAGCCTCCACTGTGGGACGGTGAGCAGAGCCTTGGCTGAGGACCACAGGCTACGACCGGCCACATATGGGGTGAGGAGATCAGAGATGTACTGAGGTGCCGGTCCAGAGTGTGCTTTATAGGTTAACAATAAAATCTTAAAATCTATTCTAAAATTAATTGGAAGCCAATGAAGGGAAGCTAAAACAGGAGTAATGTGATCTCTCTTTTTGGATCTGGTGAGGAGTCGGGCTGCTGCGTTCTGGACCAGCTGTACTTTGTGAAGACGCTGCTGGTACAGAACAGTATTCAGAGAGTTACAGTCGTCTGTAGAGATAAAAGCATGAATAACAACTTCTAAATTATGTCTGGATAGAACTGACCTCGCCCTAGAGAGCCTCCTAAGCTGCATAAAACAAGACTGAGCTGACGTGCTGGTCCAGGTTCAGGTTTCCATCAAACATGACCCCAAGATGTTTACATTTTGCAGCTATGTTACAGGATAACGGACCTCAGTGTGTTGCTGCTGTGGCTGATCCAGGACCAATAATCATTACTTTGGTTTTGTCTAAGTTTAGTTGGAGGAAGTTTTGAGCCATCCAGCATTTCAGGTCCTGGATGCAGCTGTTCAGAGATTGTAATTGGTTAAAACCACTGGGGTTAAAACACAGGTGGAGTTGTGTACAGTTATTGTGTCGGTGCTTTTCTCTTAATTTGCAATTCGACAAGAGAATATACAACCATTATTGGGTCACTCTATATGAAATCGACTCATTTCTGAGAATTCCCCCCGTCACATTCCTCCCACACCAAACTTATGAGGAAATCCACCAGATCTGAT